ACTTCATCAACAGCAAGATGTTCCGATGGATGGTAAAGTTCACAAAATTTGCTGTTAAGACTGTTGAAAATTTTTCAAATCTTCCAGAGCCTATCATACTCTGGGTCATCTCGATTTGGAGGAGCTTCATTATTCTCAAAATATGGAAGAAACAGTCGCGTACCATGGTGTTATGATAGAATGGAGTGTAGTACTGCTCATCTCTCGACCAATAATCTTTCAGGGTGTCCCGCTGATCATGGCCCATTTGAATTATTATGGCCAAAAATTTTGACATTTCTTCAATTGTGATGTCAGGCGGTTGAGTAGAAGGGCCTGGAGCATCTTGGCTTGCCAAAAATTGATGAAAATATCTGTTTGTTTCTTGTACCAAGATCTGGAATATATGATGGAAAAAGAGAATGAAAATGGAAAAGGGAGAGGACTGAGCATTTATATTGGGAACAGTGGATCTGTTTATTCCACTCGGAGGACCAGTGAAATCTAGTAGTTTTGGCGAATCCCCAGGTCTTCTATCGCGAAACCTGATCTCCATTTCCCCCGCCTCATTACTTGAGGATGATGATGATTATGATGACGACGACGACGATGATGACGACATATGCTTGTGAGGTTCAATGACCTCATCGAGTTCTTCCAACTCTTCATCAGATTCATCTTCCATCAATATTTCCTCAAGTTCTTCAGCATTGAGGAGTTTTGAGTATCGGGCTCGTGTTTGAGGTTCCATCTTGGGGGAGGGGGCTTCCAGCTAAATCCTATAATTTATGATTGAAAAAGTGAGACTGTTAGGAACACTCACAAAATTGTGATGCAAAGTAATTGCAATAGCAGTCGAAAAGTTACAGTCTGCCACTGATACCGAAAGTCACAGTGACGAAGATGTCTTTACGCACAAAGTAACACTGGCTCAGTGGGTTTATACCTCTTCCGAGATACACAATAAAAATGATATTCAAAGAAATATAGGAGTCTGACACTGACTTCCTAACTAATAACCAAATATTAGAAAATCCGCCACTGACGTCCTAACTGACAATTCAACGCTGCAAAACAATCCCTGAATTCGTCACCCTTCCTTGAAAGCTGTGGTAGCACTGATATGTAAGCGCCCATGAATATTTCCTCTAAGTCCTCAAAACAAAGCTGACCTCTATTGGCTCACCAGGTCATAAACAGTCATATCTAAACGTAAACGATTTCATTGTTCAGAGCTAACAAATAAACGTCTGAGATGAGGGTTCATGAGTTTATTTGGGTTTCAAACCCAAGGTCAAACTCTCAGCACTCACAAAGGAAGTACGTGGCTTGTCTCTAAAAATTATATCATTCGGCCAGTTCGGCTTGCTACTTGCTGCCAATAATTATAACATTCGGCCGTTAAAGGTTAACATCCTCTGCAAAAGCAGGCTGTCATGGTGGGTTGAGCATGTAGAATTAGAAGGCAGATATTATCATCATCATCATCATCATCATCATCATTATTATGCTTATTATTTTTATTAACAACATCAAGTGGATGCCAATTACTTTGACCTAACTTCTGCTTTCGACCTCGTTCCCCACTCCTTGCTTCTTCACAAACTGAGTGCCCTTGGATTTTCTGGTGGTTATGTAAACTGGATATGCAGTTACCTAACCAACTGACTGTCGCGGGTCTGTATTGGTAAAACTATTTCATCGCCTTTTGAAGCATTGTCAGGTGTTCCACAAGGATCTGTTCTTGGGCCTCTTGTCTTTTCAGTGTCTATATAAACGACTTGTGTGATTCAATTAAGCACTCTAGGTACCTACTCTTTGCAGATGATATTAAAATTTACTGTGATGTTAGCCCTCCTGAAGATTGTAATCATCTGCAATCTGACATAACTCTGTACATAGTTGGTGTGCATCGAACTGTTTGAAACTCAGCATTGACAAAACCAAAGTTATAACGTTCTCCAGGATAACTAACTTTTTGATATACGAGTACAAACTTTCTTCATTTCACTATAATTTGAACTTATTCAGTGAAAGACCTGGGAGTATATCTTGATTCTAAACTTCATTTTCATAATCATGTTAATTTTATATTTTCACACTGTATTAAGATGCTAGGTATAATTCGCAGTATCACCTTTAACTATTCAACTCTTGGATACATTTTCATATTATACTTTACTTTAGTTAGATCCAAGGTTGAATACGCTTCAGTAGTTTGGAATTCCATTACGTCAACTGATGCAAACAAACTAGAACGCATTCAGCAGAAGTTTACAGCTCTGTGCTTTAAACGTTTTTTCCTCAAGTTGATTAATGTTACGATTTTGCTTTAGAACAATTGAAATTGCACACCTTGCAAAAGAGGAGATATCACCATGATGCACTCTTCCTCTTCCAAGTTTATCGTGGTTCTGTACTTTGCCTTTCTGCTTTGGAAATTGCAGGCCTTCGGATCCCTGGTCAATATATCTGAGACTTTCCTAGGTTAAATGTCTGTTCTGTTAGTAAAAATTGGCCCTCTGCTAAATGTGCTTCTGCTGCTAATGTTGTTTGTAGGGAGGTTGAAGTCTTTGAACCAAAAACTCTTGTTGAAACATATTTTATACTGAAATAATTAAACTATTATTATTATCATAATTTTTATTAATTTCATTATTATTATTATTAGTATCTAGTTGCTAATAGTATTATCAACATTCATAATAATTCATAATTCATAAATGTATATATATATTTANGAATTATTATTATTATTATTGCTGCTTCTGTAATTGGCCTTGCGGCTGTTGACTCAGCACATAAATAATAAAGAATTGAATTGAATTGAATATAT